CGTCGGATGAAGTGTGGTTGACGGACAGGATCTTTCGTTTAGGGGGAACGACGACGTTTGGTCTCAGAGGGGAATGGGTCGGGCTAATGAGGCGTGTTGGGGACCGTAGGATTGAACAAGATGGACGGCTTCGATTAAACATCCTTATACGACGTCGTTTGGTTTTAAAATAGGAGTTAAATTGGACCGTTAGATATGTTTGATCAACGGTCCAGATCCGATAGGCCTTAAACGACGTCGTTTGGTGAGGCCATAGAGACCAGGGAACCGGACATGAAATGAATTGGGCCTGGTCCTTGGTCTCAAATTTGAGCCCAAACCCGGGTTTCTTCAATTTAAACTCATTTCTTTTCCTTTTTTTTTAATTTCTAATTTAAACAAAATTCCCAACTAATTTGTAAAATCAAAAATAAAACTATACAAATATTAATTAATACTTAAACAACAATTATCACACACATTAAACATTTAATTAAAATAAAATCACTCAATGACAACAACTAGAATAAAAGATGCATATGTTTTTTTTGTGATTTTTCCTTTTAAAACCAAATTATGGTTTGATTAATTCATAATAGTAGAACGATATCCTAAACTTACACGCGACATATATTTTTATATTTTTATTTGACAAAACTAAACAATCACAGACAAAACTACAAACAACCACCAAAAATGCCACGTAAATTCCAAAAATATTGCACAACAAAATCATTTGTTTTATTTTTCGATTTCTTTTGGAGTAATTGTCGCGTAAACAAAAATCACGTGCTTACAACAAGCTTCTTGGAACCAGGTGCTTAAAGCTAAGCAGTGTCTAGACAAAGTTGGTATTACTCCAATGAATGTCTACAAAATGAACAATTTTTCCATTAAAGCTATGTACCAGAAACCGAGGGATTCATATCAAAAGGTTCCATGGAGGAAGCTTATATGCAATAACTTTGGTGCACCAAAATGGATTTTCATACCCACTCTGGTTGCTCATAGAAGATTAAGCACAAGAGATAGATTGGCTTGATGGGGGGTGTAAGTGGGTAACAGATGTTGTGACTTGTCCCCTCTGTAATGCTGCAAATAAGTCTGAAATCACTTATTCTTCAAGTGTGATTTCACTACCAGAATATGGGACATCATATTACAATGGCAAGGCTTAACAAGGAGAGCTATGAATTGGCATGTGCTATAGCTAATGAAAAAGGTAGAAGTGCAAGGGCAGAGGTGTTTCGATGGCATTTGCTGGAACATGTATTATGTGTGGCAAGAAATGAACATGAGGTTTTTTTAGAACAAACAAAGACAAATCGAGCAAGTAACAAGAAAATTATTCAAGAAAACTTTTGTAAAGGTGTTGTGAGGAGTAAATTAGCTAGAAGACTAAGGGTGTTTTTGGTATAAAGGAAAATGTTTTCTTGGAAAACGAGTAGTAATCTTATTTATTTTCCGGTATTTGGTACGCAAATTAAGGAAAATGACTTCTCAAGAATATTTATAAATAATTTAGATATAATAAACATGAAGCCATAAACTTTCAAACCAACAACCTTCCGAACCCACAAATTTCATAAACTTTCGAACGCTAAACTTACGAAACCGTGGAATTTCGAACCCGTGAACTTTATAATTTCTAAACTTCCAAACACAAACTTCCGAACTCATAACTTTGGAACTTGTAAAATTTTGAANGGTTGGCGAGGATGGAGAAGATTGAGAAGGAGTTTTGAAAAATATTTTTCCTTCTCTTGTTAAGGAAAACATTTTCCTCCAATTAAAGAAAAATGAGTTCATAAGGAAAATGTTTTCCAAAACATTTAAGCCAGAAAATTGAAAACACTTCATACCAAACACACCCTAAAAGATCTTAATTTTATCCGTAATTTTTAGCCTGGTGTTTGTTGTTTGGGAGGTGCTGATGAATTTTGTAGTTTTAGGGATATGTTAGGCTGGTTTTTGCTCTGGAGCTGGGGCTTGTTTTCCAGGCTCAGTTTGTTTTTCTTTCTTTGTTTTGAGTTGTACAAAATTTACTTGGTAATAAAAAAATTAACAAGTTACGTAATATTTTGATGAGAATTTTGAATTATAAAAATTGATAATCATCATGTTTAAATATTGATGCAACATTCACATGAAGTTTAAAATTTTAAAAATTATGAATTAAAATGAATTCCAAATATAGGTTGATATAGAATATTTTTACTAAAGAATACTTCCAACAACTAAATGCTAGAAAATGAGTTTTTGAGGTAGATAATGTAAATTATTACGCCTACGTTGTGAATGTCCAGGAAAAGGAAACACTCTATTCTGATGAAATTAACGCGCCACCTTGAGTCACGAGAAATCACCCAATCACGCAGAGTACCAAGTCTTATCTCACGTGACCCCCGCCATTTCTCCACCTCCTCGGTCCTCGTCACTCTCCTATACATACAAATAGTCCTATCTCTCTCTGTCATCTCCCTCCATTTCCAAACCTGTAAATCCAAATTCCCTTTTGTTTCTCTTCCTCACGTTCAAATTCCTAAACCCTAACCCTAACCTGAATTCTTATGTGATTACTACAGTTTTTAAGGAGTAGCGTGATCGGAAAATGGATTCTCCGGCGAACAATCTGTACGATACGGCGTCTCAACCGGACACGGGCAACGATGCCTATACATTTTTGGAATTCAACACACAGGGAGAGGAATTCGATTACCCTGAGTTTCACGAGCTTTCGCAGCCAATTCGGTCGTCTGCGTGGCCTACGCCTTCCGATTCCTTAGTCTCGGAAGCTCCTGATCGGCTGCCGTCGTCATCCGACGCTTCTCCTTCCGCCAAATCACGTGGCGGTGGTGGAGGAAATAGTAATAGTAAATTTAGTAGTAATAAGGCGGCAACGGTGGCGGTGGATGCATTGGCGGCGGGAATGAGCGGGTTGAATTTTGAAGAGACTGGTGATGATGAGAGTTTTGAGTATGGGAAAGGGGATTTTGCTGTTGAACATGCTTGCAAGTACTGTGGAGTAGCGAATCCCGCTTGTGTAGTTAGGTGCAACGTGCCATCTTGCCGCAAATGGTTCTGTAATTCGAGAGGGAACACTTCGGGTTCTCATATTGTTAATCATTTGGTATGTATGCTTACATTTTTTGTGTGTTTTGTCATATACTTAATTTATTTGAATATGGAAAATTTGCCAAAAGGACCATGAGATCTCAGCTTCAAATCCTAGCGTCATCCCAACAAAAAAATGTGTCAAAAGGATTAGAGGCATTGTAGTTTTCTCCCAATACAAATGACCAGCTAATTTCACGTCTGCTGTTTGATGTTTAAGATAGTATGAATTGTGAATGATTCTTACTTATTTATCAAACAGGAATTGTGAGTAATAGTAGTGTGGAGCACTAACCAAGGTAGTGAACTAGGTGAAGCGTCAGCATTGTATGTAGCTTATTTCATTTGCTTCTGTTTCTCTTTGTCTATCTAAAGCTGTTGGATATGTTAGAACCAGCAAATTGGAGTCATAAAACTTCTGAAGTGTGTTTTGGAATATGAAAGCTTTAAACTTGTGAACATAGTGCTGCTTGATATCTCATTATCTGATTTTGCTTGTAGAGGTGTTATGACTTATCAACAAAAATGGCGTGAGGTGTGATGACCTCAGTCATTGCTTGTCAAATTTGTTCAGACCTGCTGATTTATTTTTTCCATCTGGTACGATGCAACGAAGGATGTTGCTGCCTCTGGTTGAAAGAGGAGAGAAAAAATGAATTGAACTGAGCTCCCATAGTTTGGCTTTCAAGGATGATTATACTTACTACAGCTGGCGGGGATTGTGTGAAATCTGCTATATTGGATTTACTTCCATCTCTATGGGTCACGAAACAGAAAGACTTTACTATTAATTTCTTAATACATCAAGAATTGAGTTATTTTGCAATTTGAGGAACTGGAAAACAAACTATTGAAAGGTGGAATCAAACAAGTCCAACTGAAAAATAATGTAAGAGGATTCAGACAACCAACTCCCAGTATGGATTAAAGCGCACTAGTAGCAGTAGTTGTTGTAATTTAAGGAACTGAACTTATTGGTCAGTACTGATGAAGAATCTTTTGTGGCTCTAAAAATACTCTTTTTCTCTCAGTTCAGTTCTTTCTGTCGGATGTGGAAAGGAGTATTCAACCCTGGGAATATGAAGCCATTGTTTCTTAGATCTTGACAAGGTGGGTTGCTCTGATGGTAAGCACCCTCCACTTCCAACCAAGAGGTTGTGAGTTCGAGTCACCCCAAGAGCAAGATGGGGAGTTCTTGGAGGGAAGGATGCCGAGGGTTTATTGGAAACAGCCTCCCTACCCTAGGGTAGGGGTAAGGTACACACTACCCTCCCCAGGCCCCACTAGTGGGATTATACTGGGTTGTTGTTGTTGTTGTTGTTGTTTCTTAGACCTGAGTCTTTTGTTTGGAATGCTAATAATCATGTAACCTCCATTGCGCGAGGGCGTATAATTTGTGGTGTCCATTTCTTCTTGTTCTGATAAGTGATAACTTGATTCTTCTCAGATCTTTGAAGATTTTATTTTCTTCTGCAAGTACATATTCTTAGATGTAGAGAAAAACGTTGAACTGTTATTTGTATTTTGTCAGGCTGAAAAGCTAGGGCCTCACCTTTTGCTGATTGTTAAGGAGAGTTGATTTACTCTATTTGATATTTCTTTTTTACATGTTCAATGTCCATTAGATGTGATAAGATAGGACACATTCACATAACTGCGTGCTACATTTTTTTCTTGATACTATAGTAAACAGTGGGATATCTACATGCATTGACTATAATATATTAAGAGCTATATTTATTGGATAGCTGTACTCTTGGAGTTTCCTGTAGTTGGTACATCTGTCATTCTCACTCTAGAAACAAGACACTTGGAATTTACTAAGTTTATTCTACAACATTCACCATAGGTTCGAGCGAAACACAAGGAGGTATGTCTTCATAAAGACAGTCCACTGGGAGAAACAATTCTGGAGTGCTACAACTGTGGATGTCGGAATGTCTTTTTTCTTGGTTTCATCTCTGCCAAGACAGAGAGTGTCGTTGTTCTCCTCTGTAGGGAACCATGTCTAAGTGTTAACGCATTGAAGGATATGAATTGGGATCTGAGTCAGTGGTGCCCCCTTATCGATGACAGGTGTTTCTTGCAGTGGCTCGTTAAGGTTTGGGTTACGCTTTCTTGTTTCCCCTTGTGGTGCTTTATGAGTTTTGCTCCCCTCCTGTTTCTATAACCTGTTGCCTGCTGCAGGTCCCGTCTGAGCAAGAACAGTTGCGGGCACGCCAAATCAGTGCTCAACAAATAAACAAAATTGAAGAATTGTGGAAGACAAATCCTGACGCTACTCTGGAAGATCTTGAGAAGCCAGGTGTGGATGATGAACCTCAGCCTGTTGGATTGAAGTATGAAGATGCCTATCAGGTGTCTAGTAGAGATTGCTATCCTATTTGTTTAGCTTTTGATGTATAGTGAATGCTCTGTAATATTTGCCCTGGATTGTATACATTAACTTCTGTGGTTGACATTTTAACTAAATCTGGCTTATCCTTCTAATGTAGTATCAAAACATATTTGCACCGCTGATCAATCTTGAAGCTGACTATGATAAGGTATGTCAGCCATTTAGATGATTTTACTTGCTGAATTTTGAGTGCATTATATTCCTTCTTTTCCTTGGCTTTTTGATTCATCCTAAAATGTTATTTGTTTTCCTTTAGCGGATATTTACCTTGTATTTTTCTTTTCAATAGTGTAGGGCTTCCTTTCTTTTCGTTGGTGTAGTACTAGTAAAGTTGCATGTTAGTATGGTCTATGCAATAGTCTGAAGTGATAACTAACCTTACATTTGCTCCTAAATCCGTGTAGTCTCTAAATTATGAGATACTTCTTTCTTTCTTTTTTTGCTTGAATTCTGTAGCCGATCAATCTAAGACACTGTTTCCTTTTGGGAAAAATGCGTTCTTTCCGTGTCAAATAACCTGCTGATAGTGTTTTTTCTCTGTCTTGTATAGTGTTTTTTTGTTAAGGTTTAATACTGCTTAACTGACGAAGCTTTCGGATTTTATTTCTATTTGGTAGATGATGAAAGAGTCTCAAAGTAAAGATAACATCACTATTCGATGGGATATTGGTCTCAACAAGAAGCGTGTTGCATATTTTGTTTTCGCGAAGGTATAATATATCCTCATAAAAGTTGTCTCTATTGACTCTCATCAAGCATGAGATTCTTGTGCTGTCACATTTCTGTCATAGCCAATTCTTTCTTGAGGCGGGATTTCTTTTGTGTCTTGACTCACCTGGACTGAACATAGGGTGCTGTTCTTTTAGGAAGACAATGAGTTACGTCTTGTACCTGGGGATGAACTACGATTGCGTTATTCAGGGGATGCAGCTCATCCAGCTTGGCAGTCAGTGGGCCATGTGGTATGGACCTTTTTCTTGATCTCTCACTCTTTTTAGAAGGGAAAAGATATTGAGTCTCCTTAAGGCTGTAAACACCCTTAACACATACACGATGACTTAGTCAGAAGGAGAAGTGCATTCTTCTGCATTTATATTTGCGTGTTTTGGCCCTTTTTTTGACTAAGACACTCTGTGGTCAATGGTTTCGTCCATTTTCAGATAAAATTAACTGCTCAAGAAGAGGTTGCCCTCGAGCTTCGTGCCAGTCAGGTACATTAGTTTAAGGATTTTCTTGTCATCCTTACCTGACTAACCCAAATGTTACTTCGCATTATGTGTTCTTATTCGTCGCACTGTTCCTGTCTTGCAGGGAGTTCCGGTTGATGTGACCCATGGGTTCAGTGTTGATTTTGTTTGGAAGAGTACGAGCTTTGATAGGATGCAGACTGCAATGAAAACTTTTGCAGTGGATGAAACAAGTGTCAGTGGGTGAGTGACATCTTTTTCCTCTTATTTGTGTTATTCTGCTCAAATTTGTACTTTTACATCTTGCATTCTTAAATAGATACATCTCATATTTGCTTTCTGACTTGTGAGTATTCATATACTGTGATTTATGCGTTTATGTTGAAAGAATTGAGTGTTCCTGCTTTACTTTTCTGTTGCTGAATGTTAAGATAATTCACATTGCTTTGCTGTCCAGTCTTGTTGTGTAGCTGTTTTTTCCATACTTGTGGAATTTTAGCAAATAACTTTGCTTGTGTCAGCCAGATTATAACTTTCTAATGAGAATACTTATGTTTGATTCGTTGATTCTACCATTCAGGTATATTTACCATCACCTGTTAGGTCACGAAGTTGAGATGCAGATGGTCCGGAATACACTTCCTCGCCGTTTTGGTGCTCCTGGTCTTCCAGAGCTTAACGCGTCTCAGGTTGGCGGTTCTCTCTTTCTTTGAACCTATAGCTGCTTCTATTCTTGTTTCTCAAACATCAATTTTATCTATCTAGTTTCGATATCCATCTTGCTTCTACCCGTTTTTCAATATTTTTAGTATGTACTTTGGGCAACTGGAATTGTTGCAAGTGCACTCCTTAGAAAGAGAGGTTATGGGATTTATTTTAGACATGTGCACACTTGTGCATAGATATAGCTGCACATGGTCATGTTACCTGACTTTTGAGATTTTGCTTTTGAAAATTTTAGCTTCTTGCTTCGTGAATGTCACCATGTGGAACTATGCTTTGCCAGAATTCTATATCCAATTTGCTGGTGGTCTTGTTTGTTCCCTCTTCTTATGGATTTTCCCTCCCCTCAGCTGTTAGTTAATTGGCGTGAAGGTGGTGCCTGAAATCCACTTACTTCAACCCCCAAAAAGAAAAAAAGGAAAAGAAATGCTCACCTCATCACCTCACCAATGTCTTATTATACATGTTTGTATTGTAGGTTTTCGCTGTAAAAAATGTTCTCCAGAAGCCGGTCAGTTTAATTCAAGGTCCGCCTGGTACGGGGAAAACTGTCACCTCGGCTGCCATCGTGTATCATATGGCCAAGCAAGGCCAGGGTCAGGTAAGTTTAATTGGTATACAAGTTGCTTTTGTCTTCAATGTTAAACTCTTGATTTGATCATGTTCCCCGTTGTTTCTTTGACTGTTTCTCATCAGGTTTTGGTCTGTGCACCCAGTAACGTGGCTGTGGACCAATTAGCAGAGAAAATAAGTGCTACTGGTCTGAAGGTGAGGCACTAGCATTTGTGTGTGTATCACCCTCTGCTGGATAGCTTTCGTTGAACTATCCTAACCTAAGTTGCTCTGACATGGCAGTTTAGGTGCTGCACCCGTGTCGACACGACACTAGTATGGGTGTGGGTATGGGATCCTTTGGTCAAACAATTTTGGGTACTTTGACCACGACGAACGGAAAAATTTCAGACGAGACACAATTTGATTCTCGAAATAAGAACTGAAACTTACCAAAACTAGGGTAAATTTGAAGAAAATAGCATATCTTATCTAGGAAATCAATCCTTTACTTATCTACAACTTGAGAATAAAAAAGAAATCCACACTTTACAAGCTATACGTAAGTATTTCACAAAAATTCTCATAATTTAGAGATATTTTTATTATTTTGAATTATTTTTAGTCGGATCCCCGCACTCGTACCCGTACTTGGATCCATATTCCGAAATCTTAGAATTTACATCTTGAAGGATCTCACGTCTAGATCCGTACCTGTGTCGGATTTCCGCACCCGTGTCCGAGCAACTTAGAATTCCTAACAGTTCCAGTCACTATTTTTGCTTGGTTATCAACACCTGTTTCTTTGGCACTCATTGTTGTATAATGGAGGTATCCTACTGAATCTTAGACTGTTCTTCCTTGCCTTTTTGACATAACATATTCCCTTTCCTCCGCCTCTGTCCCCTTTCCTCCGCCTCTGTCCCCTTTCCTTATGTTGACTGGTTAGAAGGAGTGCTTTTCCATAATCTGAAGGCATCTTGCTGATTGTCTAAAGGAAAAAAGAAAAGGGCTGCCCGGTGCACAAGGAAAAAAGAAAGAGAACTTAAAAAGTATTGGAATGTGGGAATCACAGAAAATGAGCAGAAACGTAATCGTATATATGATATTTCAGCTTTTTTCCTCTGAATTCTTTTCTCTCAGGTTGTCAGGCTCTGTGCTAAGTCAAGAGAAGCTGTCAGTTCTCCTGTTGAGCATTTAACCCTTCATTATCAGGTTAGTTCTTGCTAATTTTCAAACTTGTATGAATAAGTTTCCTTTCAGTGCATGTATATCTTTTTCTCTCCTTTCATTCTATAATCCTTTGTCCATGTAGGTTCGTCATCTTGACACATCCGAGAAGAGTGAACTTCACAAGTTACAACAATTGAAGGATGAACAAGGTTGGTGTTCCCTTCTAGTTTGTTTATGCTTCATGGATATTGGTGTTTCAATTTGTGTAAGGATTTGTTAGCTTGAAATCTTTGGTTTTCTATGATCATACACGATCCCTTATTAGCAGCATTGCTAAATGTGTGCGCATTATCCAAATTCATTTGATTTATCGATGTTCAGGAGAACTCTCCAGCAGTGATGAGAAGAAATATAAAGCTCTGAAGCGGGCAACAGAGAGGGAGATAGCTCAAAGTGCTGATGTGATTTGTTGCACTTGTGTTGGTGCTGGAGATCCTAGATTGGCGAATTTTAGATTCCGTCAGGTTGGTTCACCTTAGAATAAGATGTTGAGGATCTTTAGATCTTTTTTCATTTTTTTATCCATTTATTTTTGCCTCATTTTTGTGTGTTTTTCTATTCATCTGGATGTTTCCTTGCTGGTTTCGATATCTCTGCTATGTGACCTCATGTTAGGTGCTCATTGATGAGTCCACTCAAGCAGCTGAACCTGAATGCCTTATTCCTTTGGTTCTTGGAGCAAAGCAGGTAACTACTGCAATATATTTCATATTAAGGTTACTGTTAGAGATAGTTATGTAATTATCCCACATTGGAATAGGAGTAGTATCCCCTTTGTATAGAGTAGCTATAAATAACACATCTTGTGTTGCATCACATACAATATATCAATGTATATCATATTTTCTCCCGTGTCTTCTCACATGGTATCAGAGCTATCGTGAGAGATTTATCGCTGTGCATAAATTCCAGCGATTCCGGGAAGTAAAATCAGTCACCGGAACCCTTTTTTCCGGCGACTTTCAAAGTTGTTTTGTGTCTGCTTTGTCTCGGTCAGTGTTGTGCACAAAATCCAACACTACCACAAGAGTAGTCAGTCCGGCGACCAAATCCCAGTGAAAATCTCCGGCGGTACTGTAGCTGTCCAAAGAAAATTTTCCGGCGAAGTTCCAACGTTGCATGGGCCACCTTCCGGCCATTTTTTGGCGACGACTCTTCAGGACAGATTGTTTCCCTTGCAATTCCGAGCCTACCCATCCAGGTTACACCAAATTCCGACCACTTTTTTATTTTTCCGGCGTGAATAGTGATTT